GAGGCCACGTCCCACATACAGCAACTAGAAGGATGTGCAGCTGTGACATACAACTATCTACTGGGGCTTTGGGGGAAAAAATAAATAAATAAATAAAATTATTTTAAAAAAATACAACGATGTACACCTGAAATTCATATAATGTTATAAAACAATGTTGCTGCAATAAAAAACAAAGTCTTCTAAAAAAAAAAAAAAACAAAGATGGGGTCATCCGATGGCTCAACTGAGGCAGGCGTCTGAGAGGGCTCCCCGAAGGGTGGCACGTGGTGCTGGCTGGTGGCTGGGGCACCCACACCTGGCCTCTGTGTGGCGCAGCAGTGAGGCTCTGAGAGGAGCAGACAGAAGCTGCCAGGCTTCTTAGGACTGTGCCTGGGCATTCCAGAACGTCACTCCCGCCACAGTTTGTTGGTGCAGCCTGGACTCTAGGGGAGGACCCAGCCCCTCCTCTCAAGCGCAGGAGGAGCTGGTGGCTGAGAGAGGCTTGCACCGCGCCCAGCACCCAGGACGCAAAGGCCTTCATCTCCTGGCTGCGGGTGGCCCTGGTGCTCTTCTGGGGACGTCCTCCCCTTCTCATGGGACAGTCAAGCAGAGGTCTCTGGAGCTGGCCCAGCCTCCATCCGAGTCTCACTTCCGCAAGGATGGAGATGAAGAGGGCTCAGAGGAATTCGGCGCAGGAAACGTTTATGGACTCCCTGCCTTGTGCAGAGAGCCACCGGGTAGGGCCACAGAGACCTCATGTGGCGCCAGACAGCGGCCTTCCTGTGGAGGAGATGCTGTCTGGCTCCAGGGTTCAGAGCAGAAAGATGGCTGTAGAAGGTGGCAGCAAGGAGCGTGGGGCAGTGTGTTCAGAGGAGGAGCCGGCATCAGTGATGGCAGGGAGCCAGGGCAGACAGCAGGAGTGCCTAGCGGGGTGTGTGCACTGACATTCGAGTCCTGAGGGCCTGGGGTGGAGGGCTCGGCTTCCAGCGGGATGACTGCAGAATAACCATCTGAAGTGAGAGAGTCGGAAGAGGCTCCGTTTGGTGATGTGTCTTAGAACTGCTTCTCCCCACTTCCCTCCCAGAAGAGCCTGAGAGCTGTCCCCTGGAAACTGCATGTGCATACAGGTCGTCCTCCTGGGCTGACCCTGTCTTCAAGAAAAGCCACACATTACAGTGATGACTTGGGCCTGAGAAGGCCCCTCAGAGGCTCGTGGTGACACAGTGATTGTTGAAGGGGACCTGGGCTGGAGCTTCACAGCCTCGTTCTCCCTCCAGTGTGGCTGTAGCTGTTGCCCTCCCCTTCTCTCTGACCACATGGCCACCTCGGACCTGCCCTAAGTGTGACCCTCCATAGACCCACCTCCCTCTCCTGTCTCTGGGGTCTTATAGGTGCACGAGGGCTGTCGTGGCAGTTCCTTTTGGGCGCCAAGAAAGTTCTGTGTATTCTAGAAGAAGCCTCCAGTGTCAAAGTGAGTTAAGTGGTGTTTGGATCTGACCCCCCATTTCTTCCCGCCAGGACTGGCTGAGTTCTGTACAGCTGAGTAACTGCAGGGGCTTCTGGGCCATCCTCTCTGGGTGGGGAGCCAGGGGCTGTGGTTCATGCACGCCTGCTCCCAAGTCCCCATCAGTGGTCACCATGTCTACTCGCCCTCTGTGACCCTGGCCTCAGGGAAGTCTCAGGAGTGTGAACTCCCCACTTAGAGGACAGTCACCACACACGGCTTGCATGTTAGAGCTTTTAAATAATTAGAAGCAGTGAAGTATGCTGAACGGTAAAACTGGACAGACTATATATATAACATGATCCTCCCGTGGATGCAACGGGAAGTCGCAGCGTCTCATTTTGAGGATTCAGGTCGTCCCGACTCTCCCTGTGCAGAAGCTCTGCCTAACTGGAGTTTGGCTATCAGAATTCAAGAGAATGGGCTCTTTATAAACCCTGCATTTTGCTGCAGAGGCAGGGACGACGGAGGAGTGAGGACGCCTTCCTCGCCGTTCCAGACGTAGGGGTCGTGTCTGGTGATGACCCTTTAGCTCTCGGCAGCGACACCCAAACTGTGCGGCCTTCTCCCCGCTGCAGCTGCACGGAGCCAGCCTGAGGCTGAGGCTGGTGCAGTCCCCGCACTCGTGGGGGGCCATCAGCTGCAAGAGCAGGTGGAGCTGCTGGGGCCTCGGGGCCACAGGCTGGGCTGCAGCAGCTGCTGGAGCAGCGGGCAGCTCGGCGGCTCCCTGAGGAGTGCAGCCTCCAGGAGGAGGAGGGGCGGCGACTGGAAACGCAGCGGGGGAGTGGCGACAAGGGCCCCGAGAACCAGCTAATGGTGATGGCGAGGGTGAGGCTGAATCACTGGTCACTCAGCCAAAAATTCTTTGAGTGCCGAGGGCAAGACGGCCCACAGCCGTCCCAGCTCCTTGAGGGCTGGTTCTAGAGAAGCTGCGGGACCCCGATTTTCACTGTGAACAGTGAAGGATTCCAACAGATGCCGAGGATGGTCAGGGAGGGGCGGTGAGCGTCTTGAGGAGGGTGTCTCCCCCGCTCGGGGGTTGCTGAGCCAGCTAACTCTGAAGGTCTCTCCAGCCTGGGGCCACAGGTCCTCCAGACCCCGCCTGTCTGCAGGGGCCGCGCGCATCCGGTGTCCACGGGTCCTCCAGACCCCGTCTGTCTGCAGGTGGGCCACATGCTCACACTGCTCACGGGGCTGAGATGTGGTGACAGAGGCCGTGAGTGAGGCGACGGGCAGGGATCCCGCCTGTGTAGCCCTGTGGGAGTACAGGCCCCAGTATGCCAATTCTCCTAATTTCAAAGAAAAGCCAGACACTAGATTTTTATGTGAACACTCCTAGTTTCTAAGTGATGCATCTAATTTAAAGTGAATCTTACACCATTATGCAGACTGAAAAAAATCCACGCACAGCCATGAGGAACACAGAAGGTATTTATGGGGTGCACACTGATATAGGCATCAGAAATGAACACACCAGGCAGAAATCTGTGCCCTCCCGGAGCCCACTAGTGGTGGTGGGGAGATAGACAACCGCAAAATCAGCAACCAGTGATGTGGAGAGCATGTCAGAGGGTGATGAGTGCTGGGGAGCACGGGGTTTTGCAACTGTAAATGGAAGTCCAGAGAAGGCCTCACCGAGGTGGTGCTTGAGCCAAGACCTGAAGGAATTGAGGGAGCAAGCCATCCACTTAGTTGGGGAAAGAGTGTTCCTGCAACGGGAGCAGCACGTGCGAAGGCCATGAGGTGGGTATGTACTTGCCATGTTGGAGGATAGCAAGGATCAGAGGGAGGGAGGAGGAGGGCGGTGGGACTAGAGGTCAGCAAGGTGTTGGTGCAGACTTGGGGCGCCTGGCTGTGTGCCAGGCACTGACTAGGCATCTAGACAGTGCCTCAGAGAGCGGACTGCAGATTGGGATTCTGGCTCTACCACCTCCCAGCTGAATGACCTTGGGCCAGTTACTTAACCTCTCTGTGCTTCAGTTTCCTCATCTGTAAAATTCGGATACCAGTGGTACCCACCTCAAAGCATTATTGCGAGGTATGAATGAGTTAGCACTTTTAAAGAACCTAAAGAGTCTGTGGCACGGGTACACCCAATGTAAGTGTTTAATTTAAAAGGCTGAGAAGGGCCAGCCCCATGGCTTAGTGGTTAAGTGCGCGCACTCTGCTACTGGCGGCCCGGGTTCGCATCCCGGGCGCGCACCGACGCACCATGTCTCCGACCATGCTGAGGCCGTGTCCCACATACAGCAACTAGAGGGATGTGCAACTATGACATACAACTATCTACTGGGGCTTTAGGGGAAAAAAAGGAGGAGGATTGGCAATAGATGTTAGTTCAGAGCGGGTCTTCCTCAGCAAAAAGAGGAGGATTAGCATGGATGTTAGCTCAGGGCTGATTTTCCTCACAAAAAAAAAAAAAAAAGGCTGAGAAAACAGCTCGATCCTGGAATGTCACAAGGCCATTCATGTGGAAAAGCCCAGGGAGGGAGAGTGTGAGACAGGAGCCAGGGCAGGGGTGCCCTCGTGAGGAAGCAGTTGGATCAAGACTTGGAAGGTGGGTACAGTGTTGTTCTAAGGAAGAAGAACCTTCCAGCGTTATGCAGAAATGTTAAGCTAGAGATGAAGTTAAGCTGTGATAGATTATTGACAGAACAAAGAAATGTAATCAGTAAAGCCTTTGGAAATAGTAACACGTTTGGGGGAAACTCACTGCTAGTCATTTATGATTAAATTCCTAGGACAAAGCAGTCTGCTAATTCTCTTTGAACTACAAAGAAATGACAGCTTTGTGGCTGTGACAGAACACTTGTTAACTATTACTCAGTACAGATAAAAAGTGATTTACAGTCCTCCCAGGTTTGTACATTGTAGCTAATTTCCATTCTAAGGTAAATAAGCCTGAGATGATTCTTTTTAAATGCAAAATTGGTTTGTAACCTTCTTTTGTGGCAGGAAGAACAGGAAAAACAATTTAAAGACGCCGAAGAGTGGGTAGAAGAGGTGGCGAGGATTCTGAAGAGTATGGAAATGCTCCTACAGGAGCAGGTGGGTGATGGACTGCTGTGGCTCCGGGCTCGCATCCTCCTTCTGAACTGTGTTTCCTGTTACGGGTGTTCAGGTAGCTGATCTAGGGAGAGACTGTCTTGTCACAGAACTCAAGAGAACACCATGTTCATCTGGAACCCCTGAATCTGGGGCTCTGTCTAAACCTCATTTTGAAGATCTGAATATACAAATTTTTTTCAGAAGAGTAACAAAAGCAATCAATAGAAACCTGATTTTACTAAATACATATCCTGCACTATATTTGTATGTACATTGTGTTTATTTTCTTTGAGGAACTGTTTTAAGATATATTTTTGAGGTGTTCACATCATCTCAGAATGGACATTCATTCATTCATTCATTCGTTCATTCAGTCATTCGGCAGGTGTTCACTGAGCACCTTTGTTCCAGTTAGAAACTGAGGTGAGCCCTCAGGGACCTTACACTCTGGAGGTGGGATAGGCAATAACAAGATAAGTGACCTCAGGCTGTGAGAAGTGCTCTGAACAGGAGAAAATGGTGATGGAGGGTAGTTGGGGGTGGTCTGGGGACCGTGCCAAGGAGCTGGCATGGGAGCAGACACCTGATGCCCCAGCCAGGGGCAGGGCCAGCTGTGTCCCCTAGCAGAGGCCAGCTTAGCATTTTGGAAGGGAGAATTGCTCATTGGGTAGGACTGCCCTGTGCGCTGTGGGGCTAAATGCCAGTAGCACCCCAATCGTTGGGACAGCCGTAACAGGGCCCCATGTGTCTCCACGTGTTGGGGGGACATGCTGCACCCTGAGGAGGACATGCATTCCAGGCAGAGGGAGCAGTGCAGGCAAATGTCCTTGGATGGGATCAAGCGTGGCGTGTCAGAGGGCCATCAAGGAGGTCGTGGTGGCTGCTATGAACTGATGGGCGGGTACAGGTAGGCAGGGACCCCTAAAGGCCAGGAATTTGGATTTTCTTTTAATTGCAGTTAGAAGCCATTGGAAGATTTTAAGTAAGAGCATGATCTATATTTTTAAAGAAACCACTCTGTGAGAAAAGGAGGCACTCAGGAAACAGCCTGATGGCCTAATGGTTAAGTTCAGTGCACTCCCACTGCCCGGGGTTTGATTCCCACGTGCAGAACCACACCACTCGTCTGTCAGTAGCTATGCTGCGGCAGCGGTTCACATGGAAGAACCAGAAGGACTTACAACTAGAATTTACAATTATGTACTGGGACTTTGGGGAGGGGAAAAACAAAAAAGGAACTCAGGCTGCTATAGGGAACAAAGACAAACAAAAGAAGGCCATAGCTGCCTGATGGATGGAGGCTTAAGGTCTGATTCAGCCGGCAAGTGAAATGTGGAGAGCTTGCAGATGTGGAGAGAGTGGGAGGGTGCTGGGAGGGTAGAGAGGCTGGGAGGGAGCAGAGACACAGCAGGGGAGCTGGAAGCTCCAGAGTGATGCTCAATGCTGGGGGAAATCAAGGGAAATGGGGGAATCTGTAGAGAGATTTGTGTTACATAGTAATCCAGTACAGTTGAGCACAGGGTCCTGAGCTGAGCCCACACAGGGTGACGTTTGTGCCCCTCTTGTTCCTGAAGCACGATGCAGGGTGCTCAGTCAGGGTCACTGCGTGGCCGTCGCCCTCTGACCTCACCCCCTGACCCCGCCCCCTTTGCAACTTTGTCCCCTGCTGTCACCTCCATAGACCCTGTCATGGTCCCCCTGTCCTGACTCCCCCCCAGCTGTCCCCCTCGGTGACCCTCTACAGTCACGCCCTCGCACACCCTCACTTTGCCTCCTCTTGCCTGACAAACCTCAGTTCCCATTAGATCCTGGGCCACGCACCTGCCCCATCTTGGAGTCCTGCCCACAGCCCCTCCTCCCTCGCCCTCCTCTCCTGGCTCCTCTCCGACCTCCAGCACCTCCTCCCTCCTCTCGGCTGTGATCTGATGCTTGTTTCCCCCGACGACCAGAAGCGCAGCCCACGCCCCCTCCACTGCACCCGCGCCCCATCCCCTGCACCCCCTCTCTGCTCCCGGACCCGTCCCCCGCCCCCCTCCTCTGGGGCCTTCACTGCCCCCTGAACACACCTTGAGAGCCCTGATCCTCCCTGTTCTCTGCTCCTCTTTACAGAAATACTTTCAGAGAGCTGTCTGTGCTCGCGCTGCCTCCACCATTGGCTGTGGTAGGAACCTTAGAGTTGTGGGCGCCGCCCCACGCCCACCGGGTCCACTCTAATCCATCAGCCCTGCCATCAGGGTGGATGCAGGATGAGCCACTTCCCGCCCCATCCCCCACTGCTTCCACCCTCATCTTTTGCGTGCCCCCCAGATCTGTTCCCAGCACAGGAGCAGCCGCGGTTCTTTTCCAGTGTGACAGGCTGGCCCTCCTCTGCTCAGAATTCTCCAGTCCTCTTGTGTCCCTCTGAGTAAAAGGCAGAGTCGTTACAGTGGCCTCCAAGGTTCTGCAGGTTCTAGTCTCCTTCCCTTGGTGCCCGCCCAGCCAGCAGGGCAGCTCTGACTTGCTCTCAGTCGGCAGCACCCACGCCTCTCCAGCCACAGGCCTCCCGACCAGCCCTTCCTGTCACCCCCAGAGGCCTCTGGGCCTTTGCACTTGCTCCTCCCTCTGCCTGGAATGTTCATGCCCAGACACCCTCACGACTCATTCCCATGCTTTACTGAGAGCTTTATTCAAATGTCAACCTACACTGAAGCCTTCTCTGATCACCCCAACCAAAATGGGCACCCTCGTCCGCTGTCCATCCCTCCGGATTTCTCTCAGCACTGCTCACCACCTGACACGCTGCATGTTTGTTTCTGGTCTGTCTCCTTCCATTAGAATGTGTGCTCCCCAAGAGCAGGCCCATGGCTAGGGCAGTGCCTGGAACCTGGGGCTCAGGAACAACTTGCTGAATGAATGAATTCAGCATGGGCTTGTGAAGCCCAAGGCCGGGGCTTTTGAACAGGTCTCATGACTAGAGTGGCTTTTGTCCTCATTGCTGAAGCCCCTGTGCTGTTGTGTGTGTGGTGTCGGGCTCACACACCCTGGGCTGCGACGCCTCAGTGTGTCCTGGGTGACATTATGAACCTGCAGAGCACACTGAGGTGAACCAAACATTTTTGACGCTCTTGACTGTTTCCTTGTTTTACATTGCACTGAATAGTCGTTTTAGAGGCCTGAGGATTTTGGTCTTTTTATGTCTTCATTTCATGGTAAAATCAATTCTCGCAGAGCTGACTTTAAGTTTTCTCTCCCACATAGTTCATCAGATTCTCAGTGTCCTCTCTATGGCAGGGTAACAAAACTTGTCGTAACACTGGATGTCTGTATCAGATCTGTAAGAACCTTAAAATTATGGTTTGAACAAATGCGGAAGAGTAAGAGGGGGCAAGCTGGTCACGCAGCATTTCTGCACTAGATTCACAGTAAAGTATGGCTTTCTCCCTTTTCTAGTTTGAAAAGAACACAAAATCCGATTTGCTGCTCAAGGAGCTCTATGTGGAAAATGCGCACCTGATGAAAGCACTTCAGCTCACTGAAGAGAAGCAACGAGGTGCTGAGAAAAAAAACCGAATCTTGGAAGAAAAGGTTAGAGCTCTCAACAAACTAATCAGTAAGATGGCTGCAGCATCCCTCTCTGTGTAGAGACTGCTTGTTCTCCTGGAATTCATTTCGAAAGAACATCTCTTAAAATTAAGCCACTGTGATGCCGTAATTTTCTGTGGCTCGTTGGCCATCGACCCCTGGACACACGTGAGGACTGGGATCCTCTGTTCATCCCACAGACGGTTAATCAGTGTCCACCGCATGCCAGAGGCTGGGGAAGTAGGCATGTTGGAAAAGACTACACTTTTATCAGTGGTCCTGATTAATTTCCCTAGGTAAAATTCCCAATTTTGCTGCTCACTGGTGAAACAGATTATGGGAGCTGTCAGCAAGAAACCACTAAAGGAAAATGGTAAAATAAAACAATTCAGTGTTGTGCTTTTGACCTTGGCTGCAGAGATTAAAATGCAAAATCAGGGCTCTGTACATTGCTCTGTACATTTCACTTGTACTGCTTTGGCTTTAGATCATTAGCATTCTCGATGGTGGGTCTCTACAGACACTCCAGAAAGCGTCTGTGCTGCGACTGTCAGCCCAGCGGGAAAGGGTAAAGGAAGGAGCCCTTCTCCACTGACTGCTCCGCCCCAGGGGGTGTTTGGACAGTGCTTACTTTAGGTCTGTGGACTCAGGGATGATTATTTATTGCGAATGCAATCTTTTCCTCATTGAAATGTCATCACACTGGAAGTTTTATTACATATAAAAAAAGTATAGTTTTATATCCAAAATATATGTAAATTACGGCCATTTGGTTTATCAGAATGAACTACTATAATGTGACGTGTCACTATTTGCAATAAAGTCTTTTCTATTAAAGTTGGTTTAACTTCTATTTTTAATTTTTTTAATTATAAAATATTTCAAACATATAGAAAAATAGTTGTGTTTTTTTTGTGAAGATCATCAGCCCTGAGCTAACATCCATGCCAATCTTCCTCCACTTTATGTGGGATGCCACCACAACATGGCCTGGCAAGCGGTGCATCAGTGCGTGCCCAGGATCTGAACCCGGGCTGCCAGCAGCAGAGTGCATGCTCTTAACCGCTACGCCACGGGGCCCGCCCGAATAATAGTTTTGTAGAAACACTTCTGTGCCCATCAACTAGATGTATTAAAAATAACATTCTGCTACAGCATTTTATATAGAGGTGCAGACTCTATTCTACTGCTCTCAACCTCCTCCTCCTTCCCAGAGGCATCACTATCCTGAAACTGCTGTGCGTCTTCCCCTGTCTGCATTTACTACACATGCTTGTATGAGAAAATCTTAAAGCATTTTGGAAAGACACAAAAGACTGGAACAGATGGAAAGATCAGCTCTTGGATAGGAAGACTCAATAACATAAAGTTGGTTCTTCTAAATTAACCGATTAATATAATACATTCCCAGTAAAAATACAAACGGGCGTTCCCTGCCCCAGTCAACCCCTTGTCCCAGAATTCAACAGTTCTAAAGTTTATATGCACAACTAGATAAGCAAAGGTGTCAGACAGGGTGCACTTTATCTCTGTTTAATCCGTACATAGAACATATCATACGAAAAACTGGGCTAGACTCAGATGGAGGAGTGAAAATTGGTGAAAGAAACATCAACAATCTAAGATATGCAGATGACACCATCTTACTGGCAGAAAGCAGCAATGACTTGAAATGAGTTCTGACGAAAGTGAAAAAAGAAAGTGCCAAAGCAGGACAGCATGTGAACATCCAGAAGACAGAGATTGTGACTATGGAAGAACTACACAACGTTAACGTAGGCAATGAAGACATTGAAATTGCTAAAGGTTTTGTTTACCTTGGTTCAGTCATCAATTTAAATGGAGACTGCAGCCCAGAAATCAAGAGGAGACTGAGACTTGGAAGGGCAGCAATGAAAGAATCAGGAAAGATTATCGAGTGTAAGGAAGTGTCATTAGAGACCAAGGCCAAGATTATCCACACCCTCGTATCCCCAATTACTATGTATGAGTGTGAAGGCTGACAGGAAAATAATTGATTCATTTGAAATGTGGTGTTGGAGGAGAGCTCTATGGATACCCAGACTGCCAGAAAGACAAACAAGTGGGTCCTAGAGCAAATAAACTCTGAACTATTGCCGGAGGCAAAAATGATAAAACTGAGGCTGTCCTATTTTGGGCACATCAAGAGAAGGCAGGATTCTTTGGAAGACAATAATCCCGGGAAAAGTAGAAGGCAGCAGGAAAAGAGGAAGATCTAATATGAGATGGATTGACTCCATAAAGGAAGCCATTGGCATGAGTCTACAGGAGCTGAATAGGGCTGGTGAGGACAGGACACTGTGGACATCACTCATTTATAGGGTCACCAGGAGTCAGAGCTGACTTGATGGCATATAACAACAGATAAGCAAATGAAATAATCTGGAAAACTCTGAAAAAAGAGGAGCCAATGAATGGGGACTAGTTCTACCAGTTATTAAAATAGTCTCAATATAGTTTGGGCTACACGAGTATATACATTTGTCAAAACTCATCAAAAGCTATACTTCTTCATTTACTTTGGGCTTCTGGCTGGGATTGGAGTAACAAGGAGATTGGACCTAGTAGACCTGAACAACACTATCAATCAATTGACATTTATAGAACCTAACACCCAACAATAGCAGAAATGAGCCTGGAACGTTGACCAAGATAGACCGTATTCTGGGCCTTGAAACAAGTCTCAAAAAATTAAAAGGATTCAAGTCATACAAAGAATGTTCTCTGACCACAATGGAATTAATTAAATTAGAAATCAAGATCAGAATGATATCTGGAAAATCCCCAAATATTTGGAAACTGAATAACACAGTTATTCATATGCTGAATAAACCACAAAGCAAAGAAGAAATCAGAGGGGAAATAAGCAAATATTTTGAACTGAATGAAAATGAAAACACAACATATCAAAATTTGTGGGGTAGAGCTAAATTATAACTTAAGGGAAAATTCATAACACTAGATACATGTATTAGAAAAGAAGAAAGGTCTCAAATCAGTGACCTCAACTTCCACCTTAAATAACTAGAAAAAGAAAAGCAAATTAAATCCAGAGTAAGCAGAAGAAAGGAAATAAGGAAGATCACAGTAGAAGTCAAAGAATAAGAAGAACAGGGGTTGGCAAATTACATGCTGCAGAGTAAGCCCAGCCCCATGGTGTGTTTCTGTAAATAGTTTGATTAGCACAGCCACACCCACTCCTTAGGTATTGTCTGTGTCTGCTTTTGTGCGGCAATAGCGGGATCAAGCAGCTGTAACAGAGACTGTGTGGACTACAGAGTCTAAGATACAGAAAAAGTTGGTTGTTCCCTCCACAGGAAACAGAAAGCCAATGAAACCACAGTCTGGTTCTTTGAAAAGATTAATAAAACTGATAAACCTCTAGCCAGAATGATCAAGTTAAAAGAGAAAAGAGGGCCAGCTGGATGGTGTAGCGGTTAAGTGCGCACGCACCAGTTCAGTGGCCTGGGGATCGCGGATTCGGATCCTAGGTGCACACCACTGCACCACTTGTCAAGCCATGCTGTGGCTACATCCCATATAAAGTGGAGGAAGATGGGCACGGATGTTGGTCCAGGGCCAATCTTCCTCAGCATAAAAAAAGAGGAGGATTGGCATCAAATGTTAGCTCAGGGCTAATCTTCCTCACAAAAAAAAAAAAGAGAGAGAGAGAAAAGAAAATTACCAATATCAGGAATAAGAGAGGTGACATCACTACAAAATCTACAAAAAGTTTAATAAAGCAATATTATGACCATTATGCCAATATATTCAACAACTTAGATAAAATGGAGAGGGCAAAAATTATCAAAGCTTATTCTAGAAGAATAGACTAAATAGCCCTGTATCTATGAAAGAAATTGAAATTGTGGTTAACCTTCCCACAAAGAAACTCCAGGCCCAGATGTTTTAAATGTGAATTCTACTAAACATTTAAGGAAGAAATAATACCAAGTCTATGCAAACTCTTCCAAAAAGTTGAAGAGGAGGGAGTATTTCCCAACTCATTCTGTAACAAGGGTTAGATATCCTCATAGGCATGACAAGAACACTACAGACCAATATCCTTCATGAACATAGATGTAACAATTCTAAACAAAATTTTGGCAAATCAAATAAAACAAAAAGTATTAATACCTCATGACCAAGTGGAGTTTATGCCAGGAATCTAAGGTTGGTTTAACATTGGAAAATCAATCAATCAGCCACTATAATTCACTGTCCCAACAAAGGAAAAGACAAAAACCATATGACCATCTCAATAGAGGCAGAAAAATGATATGACAAAATCCAATATTCATTCTGAATAAAAACTCTCAGTGAACTAGGAATAGAAGAGAATTTCTTTACCCTGATAATGTGCATCAATAAAAAACTCAGAGCTAACATTACATTTAATAGTAAAAGACTAGGGTTGGCCCTGTGGCTTAGTGGTTACGTGCGCGCGCTCTGCTACTGGCAGCCTGGGTTCGGATCCCAGGCGTGCACCGACGTACCGCTTCTCCGGCCATGCTGAGGCTGCGTCCCACATACACCAAGTAGAAGGATGTGCAGCTATGACATACAACTATCTACTGGGGCTTCGGGGGAAAAAAATAAATAAATAAATAAATAAAATAGTAAAAGACTGAATGCTTTCCTCCTAAGATCAGGAAAAGATAGGGACTTCTGACCACTGTTTTTTTTTTGTTTTTTTTTTGTTTTTTTTTTTTTTTTGCAGAGGAGGATTAACCATGAACTAACATCTCTGCAAATCTTCCTCTATTTTGTATGTGGGATGCCGTCACAGCATGGCTGCCGATGAGTGGTGAAGGTCCGTGCCCGGGAACCAAACTTGGGCCACCAAAGCAGAGCACACCAAACTTAACCACTAGACCACAGGGCTGGTCCCTGTTCTGACCACTTTTTTTTTTGGTGAGCAAGATTAGCCCTGAGCTGACATCTGTTGCCAATCCTCCTCTTTTTGCTGAGGAAGATTGGCCCTGGGCTAACATCCATGCCCATCTTCCTCTACTTTATATAGGACGCTGCCACAGCATGGCTTGATAAGCAGTGTGTTGGTCTGCGCCTGGGATCCAAACCAGCAAACCCCAGGCTGCTGAAGCAGAGCACAAGAACTTAACCACTGCACCACTGGGTGGGCCCTTGTTCTGACCACTTTTATTTTTTTGTTTTTTTTTTATTATTTTTGGAGAGGAAGATTGGCCCTGAGCTAATATCTGTGCCCATCTTCCTCCATTTTTTGTATAATGGATGCCTGCCACAGCATGGCTTGATGAGTAGTGTGTAGGTCCATGCCTGGGATCCAAACACGCGAACCCCATGCCATTGAAGGAGAGCATGTGAACTTAATCACTACACCACTGGGCCAGCCCCCTGACCACTTTTATTCAGTACTCGCCTGGAGGTTCTAACCA